TGGCTTGGCCTTGGGGCCGAGGGGACTGAAGAAGAAAGAGCTACATTGCTTCTTCTGGGGGCACTAATGGCAAGTGGAATGACCGGGAAAAAGAGATGGTCTTCTTCATCTAGAGTCCAATGAAAGGGTAGGTTTGCGCATGTGGTGCGTTCCTGTGTGAGTTTGCGTGTGTGTGTGTGTGTGTGTGTGTGTGTGTGTGTGTGTGTGTGTGTATTTGTGTGTCTGTCTCTGCCAGGTAGGGCTCAGAAGCAAGAGCCCCGACGGTTCGGGCAAGTCCTACCTGTAAACGATGCCAGGAACAACAGCAGCAGCCAGGCTTCAGGGCCCCACATCTCGGCTCCCAGGGACAGGGGCATTGGCCGGAAAGCAGACCTGCCCAGTGATTCTGAGGTTCCACGGAGTTCTCCCTGGGAGCCGGTTCTGGAGCTGTGTAAAGCTCTGACCCAGAAGGCAGGAAGTCACGGAGTCCCCAGGCACTGACGGACCTGCCTATCCCACTTGGGTCTCCACTAGGGGACCCAGGCCCCAGTTCTACCCACCCAGCCGTGGCTACCCCCAAGAAGCCGTGATCGGGAGCCCTGAGCTCCCCCAGAGCTGCTTCCCACGCCGTGGCCAACAACGAAGGCAGAAACCTGGGAACCTGCTAAGCAGGTCAGAACAGGTGCGTCTCCGGGGGCCGGGCCTGGCACAGAGAGGAGACTCGGCAGCCACCGCCCCCACGGCCTGGGCTAGCTAATGGGCGCCAGGGAGGGAGGGAAGAAGGGAAGGATCTGGGTGCGGGTAGTGGGATCTCATCTGCAACAGGGGCTTTACCTGTGAGGGTATGGACGGCGCTGTGGGGGGGGGGGTAGTAGGAGGGTGGAACAGGAGGCCTGGGTGTCTTAAAGAGGGAGGCACCAGATGTGTGTGAGAATGAAACCAACGCTCTTATATGCCAGCCAGGTCAGCTGTTTCCTGGGGTCCTTGACAAGTTCCTCAATTTCCTGAAGGGCTCAGTTTTGGTGCCACAGAATCAGAGAACTGAGGAGGTCCCTGACCTGCTGGCCCACCTACCTCATCCTTCAGCAGGCCTACATTGGAGAATGGACTTGCTAGAAAACAGTCAAGTTAGTCTAGTGGTTTTCTGGAAACAGGAAGCTAGTTCAGAGACCCCTGAGAAAGAACTTCACTGCTTTCCTCCTGCTCCTCCCTGCATGGGACAGGTGGGGGGACAGACCAAAGAAATTAGCTCTGTGGATTCCTGGTTTTCCTCTCAGAACCTTCTCGCCATAACTCGACACCTGGCCAGGAGTTTTAAAAGAGCATCAGCACAACCTGAGGGGGGGGGGCTCTCCTTTTTCTCTATGGTGTGTTCCCCCCCAGGGTCATGAGGAGGACAACGTGCCTGGACTCTGCAAGGATGTTGATGTCACTCTATCCTTGTAGTCCTAGAACACGTATACTCATCTGATCATATATTTCCAGTTTGGGTGACTACCAGTAACCACCAAGTGACAGCTGGAGAGCCAGAAGCAGGGGTGTGTATCGACCCCCTGAAAGAGAGAGATGAGACCTCTGGCAGACTGGAATTTCAAAGACAGGTAAAAGCCAGACATGCTGGTGCATATCTTCAGTCCTAGCCCCTGGGAGGGGAAGGCAGGAGGATCAAGAATTCTAAGACAGTTTTAGCTACATAGAGTTCGGGGCTATCCTGGGCTAGATGAGGCTCTACCTCAAGCAACAACAACAATAATAATTTTTGAAAGACACATATACGTGGAGATACACCCAAGGAAAGAAAATATAGAGGTTACATAGCCCTCATGTCCAGAAACACAGAAAGGAAGAACAAAGTATCAATAATGGGGGAGGTTATTAATGTGGAAGATGACTATTTCCCAACTCTACCTGGTCAGGTTTTTGTGTTTGTTTGTGTTTGAGGTGGAGGCCTAGACCCAGCGCTTTGTGCATACAAGCTCTCTCTAGCGCCGAGCCACTTCCTCAGTCCCCCTTACCTGTCAGTCTTGCTCATCTCTCAAAACTGACCTCAAACGCCACATCTCCCAGGAAGCCCTCTCAGCTCCTCCCACTTGAAATCAGCCTTTCTTCTCTCCTTCCTCAGCTTTTGCCAGTCTCTTTATTATAGCTTGGGCACTCGTAATTTGTGCACCTCTTATCTCCTTAACTAAATTGTAAGCTTTAATTCAAGAGCCATTGATTGAGGCCTGTGGCATGACAGAGATTCAGTAACCTTGTTAAGCCGAGGGAAAGGATGGCAGCTGTCTTCCATGAAGTACTGGAAAGTCGAGCCCGTGTTATAATTTTGCCCGGTCAACCATGCTAGGGCAGTTCACAACCCCTAGTGCGAACTGAGTGCTTTATTTATGAAGGCCTGCGTTTCTGAATAGACCAATGTTAGTATGGAGAAGACGGTGAGGCAGGGTCAGTAGGCAGAGATCTCAAGTGATCATGTTACCATCCCGAACCCGGGGTTGTAATCTGGACTCTAACACTGCCGTGGAGTGGACCCATCTCTGGACCCCACCTCTCAGCAGCGGTTGTCATAGTGACCTCTTCTTCAAGGGCTGTTTCCTGCAGGTCTGAGGCAGATTTGAGGGTCAGGCTAGATGCCAAATCTTAATTTCTCTCCACCTCCGCCTTGGCAGACCCCTTCCCCTCCTCGGGACTCAGATCCCCACCTATGCCAGGGGAACAGCCCCACCCCGATGCTGCTTTGAGATCCAGTGTGGCGGGGTGGGGTAGGGCCAGGGGGATGGGAGAGGGAGCATCCTGTGTTATAATTATAATTATCACACTTTGGATCCTATCACATGCTTTCAGAGGAGCTCTTTCCTTCCCACGGATTCATCCCTCTAGGTACAGGAAATCACAGGAGAAACTGAGGCATGGGGGTGGGAAAGCAGCTAGGTCACAAACTGAGCATCCAGTCTACTTCGGCATTTCTATCCACAATATATTCTTCCCCTCAAAGTGCTACCGGCCAGAATATCTCTGAGCTGCATGGTGGGACCCTAAATCACTCACCCCAACTTTAGTCATAGGGAGCACTGAAGGGAAACAGGACTTCTCTGATGTGGTATCAAGGTAATGAGCACACCCACATCTTCATGGCTATGGTTAGGCCCTAGTAAACAACCTTAAAATGGGGGCTGCAGGTGCCACTGGCCAGAGAGAATAAGGCAGCCATCCATGCCTGTAATTGAGGTAGGGATTTTCCTTTCCTCATCTAACAAATATTTATCTTCGAATCCTCTCTATTCTCTCAATCCCTTAGTCCTATAATGTCTCATATGGACCATACTCCTGAAGAATATGCTTTATACTCAGGCCTTTTCTTTCCTCTTCTGGGATGAATCCCAGGGAAGCCATATTTCAGGTCAGGTGCTATACTAAAATGATGGTTATGAAAGCCTTTCAAGACCAACGCCTATATCCAGAGCTCAATTCTTTCTTCTGCATGGACTCCCCATTCCCCTCATGCCTCATGACCTGCCCTCCTCCCACCGACATTCTGAGTCCTAAGAATGGGAACAATTCAAGTAACGATGGATGGCATCCGCAGCGCATGCATCTGTCTGTGCGGCATCACTGCGCGTGACTGCAGGCGCGCATTCATTCAACAGACACTCAATGAAGATCACTGGGTCAGGCGCAAGGGAGGTGACGGAGACATAGGACCCATGATCCCTGCCCTCGAGGGCCCCTCAGTCAGGAGACAGACACATATATATCTGCAACAAATCACACCTCGCCATCACCTGTTTCCTCCATGTGTCCCTGTGTCGCTAATACACATGGGACTGCCCCTGTCCCTATCCATGTGGGTATTACCTGCGTGTGTCCAAGCATGCACTTGAACTGGTCTCAGTCCACATGGAAGGCTGCACACCTAAGCCAAACCGGTTGGAGAGGGTTGTGCTGAAATTTTTGTTTGTGACAATGCGGCCTGGGGTGAGTCAGGGAGGGACAGGGCTGGGTGGGGAGGTGTGGGGGAAGGAGAGTGAGAGTGAGGGTCAGATTGAGTGATCGATCCAGGGAGGGAAGGAGGGAGGGGGCCAACGTGGGGGTGGGGTGGGGTGGGGTGTCAGGAGAACGGGCCTGGGGTAGGAGGACATCAGGGAACTCCTGATTCAGGGAGTGATATCCTGTTTGTCCAGGTCAGAGAACAGAGAGAACAGACATCAGCTTGAAGGGGAGCTCTGGCATGGGGAGAGAGAGAGAGAGAGAGAGAGAGAGAGAGAGAGAGAGAGAGAGAGGAATGAATAACAAAAGAGGGTGAATAACAAATCAGAACGCAACTAGGTAGAGGCATGGGTGTGGATGAAGGGTTGGCGCTCCGTTTCTGCACAGCTTTGATAAGCTGTCCATCCTCCGGCTTCCCGCAGAGTCCACACAGCGGGCTGTGGGGTGCTGACTGACGTGGTGGAAGAATACCCGTCACTGGACTTGACCCTGTCCCCAGGACTGAGGCTCCAGCAGGTAGCTTCCTCACTTCTACTGGTCCTCCATAGGATGCCTCTCCGCTTACGGAGATGTGGAGAGAGACCCCCCACATACACAACACGGGGGCTCCAGAAGCCCTTCCTACACTGAAAAATGCCATTGCTTCCCACTCCCCACCCCCAACCTCCAGCTTAAAACCTCGCTATGCCCAGCATTGGGATGGTGGCGTCTTGTTTTCCGAGCTAGTCCATCTCAATGTTGATACGTGCCGTGCTGTTCTTATCTGCCAATCATGCAGTCTCGATACCCAGCCCAGCTCCTAAGGACAACCACATTTCCTGGTTGCCTAACAACATCCCTTCGAGCTCATGGGGCTGGGCACGCTTGTTCCTCAAGGGTTCTAACGCTGGAGTAAGCCACCCAGGAAGAGAGAGGCCCGAACACAAGGCATATCTGGGTCCTGTTTCTCATCAGAGCCCGATGAATGCAGAGCGCCTCCTCTCTGCTCTCGGCCTTCTGTAAACACACTTCTGCAACATCAGTGACGAGAACATGGGTTGAGAGACAAAAGCCTTTATTATTTTACCCTGTGTTTATGGATGGGCTAACACTTTCAGAAGGCGGCTGGAATAGGCCCTGGCTGGCACAGGATGAGGCTAGGAACTCTCCTGGAAATCAGTCTTCTGAGTGGTCACAGTAGCAGCAGAAGATGTAGCAGCGAGGGTTCAGGAAGCCAGAGCAAAGAAAGGTAAGGAGGGAGCCTGAGAATTTGGTGAGAAAACAGATTCCAGTGAGGCCCTTGGCTGTGTTATCTCTGTCCCCACTATCGATCACAGAAAGAGCTAGTTTCCTCCCCGGGGGAGCCCACTGGACATGGAGGCAGCCCCCAGAGGTGAGTCTACCCTGCCTTCCAGCTTTACCTTGAAGTCTTCCTGAGCTGGTTTCCCTCTCAGTTCCAGAAGCAGCTAAAAGCAAAAGGGTTAGGAATCAACAGTGTCCACTGCACTGATGATTAACAAGGTCAGGAGCCTGAGAGCTGTGAGGAAAGAGTAGAGGAACGAGGACCGGCATCTAACCTCCTTGCATCTAGGCTTACACTCACTACGGTCTTCTCTGGGGACACCTGCTGCGATCAGGCCTACCTAGGAAGTTGAGGCATTTTTTTGGTGGAGGGAAGCCTCTTGGAGTGCCTGTATTCTATATGGGAGTCCCAAACTCAGGACTGTCTCAAAACATTTTTTTTTTTCAAGACAGAGTTTCCCTGTGTAGTTTTGGTGCCGGTCCTAGATCTTGCTCTGTAGACCAGGCTGGCCTTGAACTCACAGAGATCCACCTGGCTCTGCTGGGATTAAAGGCGTGTGCCACCACACGCCCTGCTCAAAACATTTTTTTGGAGGGCTGACATGGGCCAGGAATGGTGCCACATGCCTGTAATCATAGCAATGGCACAGGGAATGTCAGAAGTCCAAGGCCACCCTGATCTACACAGAGTTTCCAGCCAGCCAGTTACATAGCAGAACCTCTTTCAAGTGTGTGTGTGTGTGTGTGTGTGTATGTGTGTGTGTCAGGGGTGGGGTGGGAGGCAGTTCCTGGCAATGGAGCTCAAGAATCAGCGTGCTTGTCTAGGACCTGGAATCCGTTTCTAGGTTTTGGTTTTGGTTTTTTCTAGACAGTTTCTTTGTGTAACCTTGACTGTCCTAGGTTTAGTGGTGGGTCTCTTTGTTTGATGAGCCATCTTGCCAGTTCCCCAAAAAAGAATTTAAAATGCAAAAGATAGCGGGGTGTGGTGGCCACACCTTTAATCCCAGCACTCCAGAGGCAGACACAGATGTATCTCTGACTTTGAGGTCAGCCTGGTCTACAAATCAAGTTCCAGGACACCTAGGTCTACTCAGAGAAACCCTGTCTGGAAACACCAAAAAAAAAAAAAAAAAAAAAAAAAAAAAAAAAAAAAAAAAAAAAGACAAACAACAACAACAAAAAGGAAATCAAAAGATAGACAATCTCTAAAGAATGGAAATTACAGCCTGGTGGTGGTGGTGGTAGTGGCGGAAGTGGCGGCGGTGCATGCCTTTAGTCCCAGCACTCAGGAGGCAGAGGCAGGTGGATCTCTGGGAGTTTGAGGCCAGTCTGATCTACAGAGCGAGATCCAGGATGGCTAGGGCTGTTACAGAGAAACCTTATCTCAAAAAACCTTAAAAAAAATCTTCTCCATTACCCCCTCCATCCTAAATATGCTTACAATTTTATCTTTCTATCTTTCTCTCCGATACTTTCTTTTTCTTCTTTTGGTTTTTCCAGACAGGGGTTCTCTGTGTAGGCCTGGCTATCCTGGAACTCACTCTGTAGATCAGGCTGGTTCCAAACTCAGAGACTTACCTGACTCTGCCTCCCAAGTTCTGGGATCAAAGGCGTGTGCCACCACTGTCAGGCTTCTCTCAGATACTTTCTAGCTCATGTCCAATAAAAGGATCTCTCAAGCCCTGGCCTCATGCAATTTATTTTCCTGGTTGCTCCTCTGATCTTGTGTGTCCACATCCTCTTTGAGCTAAGAACACAGTCAGAATTGGTGTTAGGCTAGCACAAAGCCACGGAAGTCAAGGGGCTGCAGGAACAATGTAGGCAGGTCAGGAACAACAGAGGAAGAGCCAGAGAGAAGGCCTGACAGATGAGGTAGCCTAGAGAATACAGGAGGGCACTGTGGAAGTCCTGGGACTGTGACCGAGAGTCACTGGGCTAAGTGTTGGTTTTTCATATACACTGAACAATTCAGAGAACCAGAGATGATCCCAGGGTCGGAAAATGGCTCAGGGCCAGACATGGCGGTCCATGCCTGTAATCCTAGCTCAGGATTAGTTCTGTGTAGCCTTGACTAGCCGTCTTCCTGCATCAGCTTCCTAAGTACTGAAATCGAAGGTGCTGTGTATTCATGTTGGTGTGTGTGCACGTGGAAGCAGAGGCCATTGTATGCACCACCCCCACTCACCCCCCACAATCCTCACGATTGTGCAGAGGATAATCTCAGGTGCTGTTTCTCAGAAGCTGTCCACTAGTATTTTGAGACAGATCTGTCATTGGCCTGGAGCTCACCTAACAGGCTAGGGATCCACCGTCTCTGCCTTGCCAGCACTGGGTTGCCATGCCCAGCTTATTTTCATGCGGGTTCTGGGGACGGAACTCGGGTCCTGGGGCTTGCATCATTGAGCTACCTTCTCAGCCTTAGATGTTTGTTTTAGTAGAAGAGAATTTTACCATAACCTTTGAAAACTGAGGATCTGACTTGTCAAATACAGGAAAAGATAATTGGATGGGCAAAGACACAGAGCTATTGTTGAATCTCGGCTTAGCATACAGGTGGGGACAGGCCTGGTGGGCAGGCCTGTAATCTTAGCTAGTCAGGAGGCTGAGGCAAAGACTGCCTGGGTTACAAAATGAGTTCAAGGCCATCCTGGGAAACTTATCAAGACTCAAAGTTTAAAAAAAAAAAAAATTGGTTGGCGATGCATCGAAGTAGTGGAGTGTTGCTTAGCAACAGGCTAGGTTCAATCCTCAGTACCATACATTTTAAAAAGGAAGGGAGGGAGGGGGAAAACGGCAACAGGTCCTGGTCATCATCTAGTCCAGACTGTGCCTTCCCGTGCGTGCCCTCTCCACGTAGTTCTCCCTCAAGATTTAATTGGGATCAGGAGGGATAAGGCCCAGTGTGCTCCTGGTCCCCTGAACCCCATGCCCGTCCATGGCCCACTGAAATCTTGGACATTCTCCGTGGCCTGGATTCCTCAAGCTAATGGCGAGCAAGTTCAAGTTGAGAACCCAAAGGTCAAAGTCACAGCCATCCTTCCCAGATCAGTTTCTGTCCCTCCCCAGCTGGGCTAGGAGCAGAGATCAGTCTGTATTTCCTCCGACAGCTGAAACCAGTCTGTCAGCCTTGATCTGGGCCTCTGCATTCTGTACTGCGTCCTGTGGGGACAGCGCGGAAGGCCTTCAGTAACCCGGCTTGAATGAAAGGAAGAGAGCAGGGAGGAGCAGGGGTGTTTCTCACCTTCCCACCCACCTTCTAAGGCTGGGCAGCTCTGCCCAGGATCCTATCAGGAGAAACTCCCTGCCCTTCCTTAATCCTGAGTTCCACAGTGGCTCCGTTTCCACGTTTACATTATTCTAAAGAGGCAAGATGAAATCGTTGCTCTTCCCAGGACTCGGTAGTGAAAATTTGTCCACGATACGCCTAAGCTATTTTTCCTCACCCACTCCACCCTCTGTACCCCATCTGCCCCGCAACCCACGTGTCGGTCCGTGTCTCCCCACCCCACCCCCCATCACCATCATCACCTTTCGAGCCCGGCTCTTCTCTCGGAGACTGGGCTCTACTGCCCTCTAGTGGCCAGAGGTGGAACCACTCCACCCAATCAGTACCTTCAAGGACTTCACCACTAACGGTTACATAAATGGGAACGCTGAGGGACACCTACCCAAATCTCAGACACCCAACCCATTTAGTCCACGTTCATTCCCTCAACCTCTGACCTGTGACTTGTTTCTTTCCTACCTCATCCCTAGAGAAAATCCCAAGTTGGAAACCCTGCAGCAGGAAAAAACAAAACAAAAAGAACCCCCACGGTCCGTTGGTTTCCCCCACCCCTGCGCCTCAAATGTCATAATCACAAGCTGATTTGCCACTATTGGGTTCTTCTAAGGAACTGTCAGCTCCCAGCCTTTTTGAGCCCAAGTCTTTTAGGATATTTACTGGCTTCGCCACATCTCGTTGCTGTGGCGACATCACTGCAAGATCGCGGTAGCTAACCAGGTCTCCTGTCTCCAAGGTAACAGGCGCTTTGCGACCTTCAGTTTGCAGCGGTCGGTGGCACTGCAGTCCCTGCAGTGGTTGCTGGGCGACAGCCGGGGAGAGAAGGGGTGTCTGGAGTAAGGACCTGGGCTGGTCTTGGAGGGGAAGCTAGCCCATGCCTGAGGGAAGTGCTGGGCCCCGCGAGAAGGGGTGTGATCTGAAGCGCCCCAACTGCTCTCCCCTCGGCTGGGCCCATGGCTGGGGCGGAGTCCCCCGGGCGAGCAAGGGGCTCGGCCTGGACCTGGAGGCCAGTGGCGCGGGACGCGCTCCTGGCTCGTGCCTTCCATTCATGCACCGAGCTGCAGGGACGGTTCTATCTGGTAGGGGGTCTCCTGGAAGGTGGTGCCAAGGTGCCCAGCAGCGATACTGTGATCTTTGACCCAGCTGGGGGCCAAGCTGTACGACTGCCAGCCCGGGGCAGTCCCACTCGCAGTCACCACGAAGCGGTCCTGGTGGGGGGACGGTGGCTCTGCGTGGTGGGTGGCTGGGACGGGTCCCGTCGCTTAGCCACGGTGGCAGCTCTGGACACGGAGAGTGGGGCGTGGGAGGTCTGGACGGCGAACCCTGGCAACTGCCCTCCTGCTGGCCTCAGCAGCCACACCTGCACTCGCCTCTCCGACCGGGAGCTGCGAGTGTCTGGCAGAGAGGGTGGCACCCGCACTCAGCGTCGCTACGGAAGCATCTACACGTTAAAGTTGGACCACAGCACCCGCACTTATTGGTACGGCAACCTTTGCCCCAAGCGTTTGTTTGTTTTCTCCACGCTCGAGAAACACAAAACCTAAACAAACTTACTGGTCACTGATTCCTGTCCTCACCCTAGCACCATCTTGGAGTCTACGATTTCCAAGATGGCGTAACTCTATCCGCTCCAACCCGGACTTTCTCTTTCACAAGGGCACTCAGGCAAAGCGGTACAACATTCGGATCTTTTCAGAAAACCCGAATTTCTGTGTACCAACAGCTACAAGGAAGAAGGCTGCCACACGGCCTCACGATCAGGTCACTGTGCTGCCCTGCTGCCAACTGCCGGACCTCACCCGGGTCATCAGCTGTTGCTCTTCGGGGGCTGCAACTCGGTGGAACCAGAAGTAATTGGGAAATGGAGCCATGGGAAAATTAAGGTATTAGCTACCTACATTTTAGAGTAGAAGAGGACTAAAACTGAGATAAGCAAACCCTTTAGACGGTCCCTTTTCTCCCCCAGGAGGAACCACTTGCCGCCCCCCGTTTGACGGAACAGCTCAAGAGGCTCGTGAGCAGCGGGCAGGGGTTGCGGCAGGGACCCCAGGGCCTGCGGCACCATTCCTGTTCAGTGGTGGGGCCTTTCGCTGTACTCTTCGGTGGTGAAACCCTGACCAGAGCTAGAGACACGATCTGCAATGACCTCTACATCTACGACACCCGTGAGAGCCAAACTAATGTTTGGCGGGAGGGAGGAGGGAAAGACATGAGAACCTAAAATCTACAGAAAGATGGAGTGGTGGGATACGAGAGAGGAAAAATTAGTTGACAAGAGTTAAAGAAATGTAGCCTGGATGTGGCGGCACATGCACCAGACGCAGAGGCAGGAGGATCTCTGAGTTCAAGGCCAGCCTGGTCAACATAGTGAGTTCCAGGACAGCCAAGGTTACACATAAGACCCTATCTAGCTGGGTGGTGGTGGCGGCGGCTGCCGCCGCAGTTGGGAAATAGAGCCAGGTGGAAATAGAGCCAAAGCTACACAGAGAAACCCTGTCTTGGAAAAAAAAAAAAGACCCTATCTAATACACACACACACACACACACACACACACACACACACACACACACACTCTCTTTCTCTCTTTTTAAAAAATAGAGTCAGAGCTGGCACATGCCTTTAGTCCCAGCACTCTTGAGGCAGAGGCAGAGGCAGGAGAATCTCTGTGAGTTCAAGACCAGCCTGGTCTACAGCGAGAGTTCCATGTCAGCCAGGGCTACACAGAGAAACCCTGTCTCGGAAAACAAACAAACAAACAAAGCCAGGCATGGTGATTCTCTGAGAGGTTGAGGCCAGCCAGCCTGGTCTACATGGAGTTTGAGAGTAGCCAGGGTAACATGGTGAGACCCTGTCTCAAGAAACAAAACAAAATAAGATACCATACATAGACTATTTGAAAAGGCCAACAAATCTAATGAGAAAAATACCAGGCAGGCATTTGACGTGTTGAAGGGAGGACCAAGTACCCCTCCTCGATAACCACCCTCTGCTCTCAACCCGACAGGCGAGTCTCCGCCTCTGTGGTTCCACTTCCCCTGTGCAGACCGCAGACTGAAGCGCGTGGGCCATCGCACGTGCCTGTGGAACGACCAGCTTTATTTGGTTGGGGGTTTTGGTGAGGACGGCAGCACAGCCAGCCCACAGGTCTGTGTTCTGGAACTCTTTGTCTAAAGAATAGAAGGGCACACGGACCAGGCCTCTGTGTTGTGGCAGACCCACCCAGCATTCTCACTGTTATTGCACACTTTATCTAATTATTAAATTTCAATCAGAGAATCAACATTTTGTCTCTGACTCCTTTTTGGAAGGGCACTAAATAAGTAAACACCTTTATTTCAAGGGAAAAGCCAAAGGATAAGCCTTCCTCATACTGGGAGCTATTAACCTGGCAGAGACAACTGCAAATCATCTGTTTTTTTGTTTTGTTTTGTCTGAAACAGGGTATCACTATGTATATAGCCTTGGATGGCCTGGAACTCATTATGTAGACCAGGCTGTCCTGGAACTCAGATCTGCCTCCTGTTGTATTCCAAGCACTAAAATTAAAGGAATGTGTGCCACCATGCCCAGCTGTATGCTGTCTTTTGCCCTTAATGTAACCCTAAATGAGAGAAAGTTTCGGGCTACAGCTAAGCATTCTGACCAAAACATTTAATTAACAAAAAAATATTACAATAGCAGAGAAAATAATAATAATAACAACAACAATAAAAAGAAATCAGAAGTGGGAGTCAGGGTGAAAAAGAAAGTGCAGAGGCCTTAGTTCCTAAGAGACCAGCACTCCTGCTGAGCTGGACTTAGCACCAGCTCCTTCTGAGCTTTCCTTGGCTGCTGGCTTCTCATCTTCCCCCATAAGACGAATGTTGTGCTTTTCCCGAAATTCATTGAGTTCTTTCCCCTTTGCCTGAAGCTGCTGTGACAGTGTCTCGATGATCTTCTGTATCTAGAAGGTAAGGGAAAGAGGTTACAGAAATGCACGTCTCCTTTCCCCAACCTGGAATGGACTAGGATTAGAGGAAGTGAAACAAGATCATACTCAGCCTTACCTTTGGCCAGGAATGAACAAAGCCCAGACTCTCAGTGTCTAATACAAGGGAATCACCTGAGCTTCTTACTTCTGTTATTTATTCTTTGACCATTTCATAAATGTACAGAATATATTCTGATCATACTTAGGTACTTCATCCCACTCTTTCCCCACCCCACCCCCTTTGTGGTTTTTTGTTTGTTTGTTTGTTTGAGAAAGGGTTTCTCTGTGTTGCCCTAGCTGTCCTGGAACTCACTTTGTAGACCATGCTGACCTTTGCCTCCGTCCAGGCTAGCCCCACTCCTTTATCCACCTCCCCCACAGTCCCCCATCTCATAATCATATATCTCTGTTTTGTTTTGTGACCCACCGAGTTTAACCAGGACCACCCTTGTGGGCATGAGTCTGGAGCTATCTACTGGAGGATGAGCGACTCACCAGGGCTACGTCACTGAAGACAATGACACTGAAGACAAAAAAGCCACCCTCTCTTAGCAACCTTCAACTGTCAACAGTCCCCAGGGAGGGTGGGCTGCTTGTTTTTAAAATAGCATTTATCATACTATGGTTTCTTCTTTTAGGTTATATTCATTTTTTTTACTTAGTGACTTATAGTTAGCCCAGGCTGGCTTCAAACCCAAGATTCCCCTGCCCCATCATAGCAAGTTAATCACCAATGAATGGCACCCCAGTCAGTCCTCTTTCTCCTTTTAAAATGTCACTTATGGTATCTTTAAGGGTCTGATTCAGTGGGTCCGAGAGAGAGTAACAAGTTGTATGTTCAGCTGATTCTTGGCTGGAGGTAGAGCTCAGTGGCAGAATGCTTAGCCTATTGTGTATAAGGCTCTCTCTGGATTTGATTCCCAGCACTGTTAAACTAGTTCTTCAGGTGATTCTGATTCAGGTATCCATGGACCACACTGTGAGAAACACTGCTCTACCCATCCTCCTCCCAAATCAACCACATCAAAGAGCCTATGGAAAGGGCACACAGCCAGCAACTCCTCCCATAAGGAGTTGGACTTCGTAATCGTATAAAGGGCACAGACTAACAGGCTATATACTATCTCCAACATGACTTTCTCCCCTCACATTCCTTCCCTAGATCCCTGGGCATCCCCATTTTACCTCTTGGCTGCCCAACTCCTCCTCGGGCATTCTTGCTCACCTGCTCTTTGTTACCCTCCAAGGCAGGCAGCACCTCTTTGACGGTCCGCTCTACCAGCACACCTCCGACCATGCGGTAGCACTTGCGGGTTTCATCCACTTCCTTCAGTGTATCAATCACTAGGCTAGGGTAGGAGAAGGAGACCTCCACATTCAGTTCCGCTCTAGTGCAGCCCTCCCTCCAAAGGCCCATGCAGTCGCTCTACTATGTCTCTGCCTTTCTTACCTGTGCTCATTCAGTTCCATCTCCAGCTCAGCTGCTTTGGATGCCAAGCCTCTCTGTTCCTGCCGAAGGCGATTAAAGCCAGCAATTACCTAAGAGCATGAGAGAGAGAAGATGAGAGATGAGACCGTGAAAATGCCAGAAAGTAGGGGCAGCCCATAGGACGGCCAATTTTACAGAGATGCAGAAGTGGATACCCACCTTGGGAAAGGAGTAGAATACAAATTTGCAATTTCCCCGTGCCTACCTGTGGGAGGTATTTGCCAGGCACGAGATTTAATAACAGATCTGAACCTAGGCCCTATGCAAGAGGAGTAAATTCTTTTAACCACTGACCTATCTCGCCAGTTTCCACACCCCCTCCCCCAAGATGTTTTTATTTTTAATTATATGGATATGTGTGTGTTTGTGCACACACAGAGACCAGAAGAGGGTGTTGGATTCCAGGAGCTAGAGTCACAGGCCTGCTATGGGTGCTGGGAATCAAACCTGGGTCCTCTAGAAGAAACAACAGTATGTACCCTTAACCACTGAGGCCTCATCTTCTCAGTCCTTGCCTTTTTCTAAGATTTAAAGTGTTACCTCATGTGTATGTGTGTGCCTGTGCATGTACATGTGTGGAGGTCAGAAGAGGGTGTCAGATTCACCCGGAACTACGGTTACAGGTAGCTTCTGGGTGTGGGGACTGGGGACTGAACTCCACAGAGGACAGCTCTGCAAGCTCCGTTCTCCACTTCAACTGTGCGTTCCAGGGATCCTGCTCCAGTGGCCAGGCTTGTGCAGCACGTGCTCTACTCACTGAGTCACAGAAGCTCGGTACCAACACTCAGGGCTGGAGAAACAACTCAGTGAGCGGTGCCTCAGCATGCAAGAGGCACTGGCTTCAACGCCCAGCACCACTACCAACAACGAAAAAGACACGCCTACACGGTACGCTGACTATCCCCCATCCAATGCGGAACTTCTTCCTCTTTAACTTGGCGGGGCTTCTATGGGGCCACCAACCACAAAACCCTTGTCCCCTGGACCCCAGAAGTCAGTAACCCACACTAGTCTTTTTTCAGATATCTGAGTTGTGGGTAGAGACAAAGGTAATATAATGGAAGCGGCTGGAGCTACGAGCCCTGTGGTCACAGAGGAGAGACCTGCTGCTCTGATTCCTGGACTCCTTAAAGCGGCCCCAGTTCCTGAACTTTACTCTAATTAGCCCTTTTGTGCTCAGTTTTGCAAGCTACCTGCTATTCTTCAAAACACTCATTAAAACTGGTCTGGCTGTTCACACCTGTAATCTGAGCACTCCCAGAGATCACGGTAAGCTCCAGGCTAGCCAGGGCCACACAGGGGTAAACTGTCCTGAAAAACTAAGAAAACAAAAAGAAAAAAGAAAAAGACAAACAAGTTGTTTGGTTTGTTTGATTTAAAAAAAAAAAAAAAAAAAAGAGCTTGGCCTAGAGCCTCAAGCCCATAATCTCAGCACCGAGGAAGCTGAGGCAGGAGGATCAAGCGTTCAAAGGCCCTGACTTTTTAGGGGAGGAGGAGGGGAGAGGAAGAGAGTGGGAAAGATGAAGAAAGGTAGGAAGAAAGAATTGGAAAAGGAGAGGGGAAGGAAAGTCAAAAGTAAATACTGTAACTAACTCAGTTCTCCAGCACCAAATGGCGCCCTCTTCTGGACAGATGTGGTGCCACACTCCTAGCCAGCATTCTTACTAATAGCAGCGTTTCCTTCACACACACACCTCTCCACCCCTGAACTGTAGCACTGGAGATCAGGTCTAGGACTTGCACTATGCCAAGAAGGCATCTACCAGTGAGCCATCCCAGCCCTTTACCCTAGTTCCTTACTCCAGTGTAATATGACCCAGTTTTTGTTGTTTGCTTTCAGGATATGAATGTGTCAATTATCCCGGTGTGGAAAAATTCAGCCATGAGTGCAGTAAAAGTAAATGCACCGTCAGCAGCTAACCGCAACGTAACTCTAGGTGAAATGCTCGGTCAGCCAATTTTTTTGTTTGTTTGTTTTCTAAATAGGGTTTCTCTGCATAACAGTCCAGGCCGTCCTTGAACTAGCTTTGGAGACCATGCTGGCTTTGAACTCGAGATTTGCCTGCCTCTGCCTTCGAGTGCTGGGATTAAAGCCAGTTTTAAGCTGCCATCTCTGGGGTCTCTAGGATAAAAACAGTCTAGCTCTATTTCCACTCCTCAGAATTCTCATTGTTCCTTTTAAAATACAATTTCCTAGTGGTCTTCTCCCCTGTGGCTATGTCTAATTTTTCTCCCTTCCTTATTCCCTATTGTTCTTTTCTTCTCCCCTTAAGATTTATTTATTTATTTATTTAATGTATATGAGTGCTCTATATGTATGTATAACTTTAGGTCAGAATGGGCATCAGATCCCACTATAGATAGTTGTGAGCCACCACATGGTTGCTGGGAATTGAACTCAGGACCTCTGGAAGAGCAGCCAGTGCTCTTAACCACTGAGCCATCTCTCCAGCCCCCATAGCATATTAAAATAAATAAATAAACAAACAAACAAACAAATAAGATTTACTTTATGTGGTCTTGGTTGTTGTTGGTGGCTTTTTTGTTGTTGTTTGTTTGTTCTTGTTTTTCAAGACAGGGATTCTCTGTGTAGCTCTGGCTGTCCTGGAACTTGCCCTGTAGACCAGGCTGGCCTCGAACTCAGAGATGCGCCTGCCTCTACCTCCTAAGTGCTGGGATTAAAGGCATGCCGCACCACCAACCCAGGTTTTTTCCCTTTTTTTCTTTTCGTTCCTTATAGCCCAAGATGACCTCAAATTTGCTATGTAGCCAAGGATGACTTGAACTTCTGATCTCTTGTCTCCACCTCCCAAGTCCTGCTAGGAATACAAGAGTACTGATCATACCCAGTTCATTCTATGCTAAGCATTCAACCCAAGGCCCCATGCAGAGAAGACAAGCGCTCTACCAACTGGGCTATGCCTCCAACCCCAAATCTTCTCTATTCATATTTGTATTATTTGTCACTATTTACTCTGCCCTCTTTTCTGTTATCACTCAGAAAAATTTAAATATGCAAATATAACCTATTTTTAAGCACTTAACTCTTTCATGACCCTACAACTGCTTTCCACAGTATGGAAAGTAAAGAGCATCTACTATGCTCCAAGCACTATGACAGCCTTGATGTTCCATCTCGTTTACTTCTAAAAAATGAAAACAGACTAAGGTACAGCTCAGTGGTAAAGCACTTTGTGTGTCAGGGTTCAATTTACAGCCTGGGGAAGGAGGGGACAACTATAGAACATGTACCTTAGTTTATAAATCAAGAGTCACAGCCCCGGGTGCAGACAGAGCTGACTTATACACAGGCTTCTCTACATCTAAGAACCTTTTCTATGACTATGCTGTTTCTGGTTTGTCATACATTAATCTCACAGAAATAACAATTTCCCCTTGATTTATAGTCCTGCTTTGTCTTCTTTCTTGGTTACTCAATGCTGTATAGTTTTTGGTTTTTGTTTGTTCGTCCTCTTTTGTTTCTGTGTTTACAGTGCTGGGAGATAATTCAGGGTGGTGCACATGCTAGGCAGACCCTCTATCATCAAACGACATTCCCAGCCCCTTACCATATTCATTTGATAACTTAGGGCAGGAGGATGGCTCAGCAGTTAAGAGAGCTTCTCTTCAGAAAACCTAGTTTTCATTCCCAGCATCCACATGGTAACCAACAACTGCCTATAGCTACACGTCCAGAGGATCTGTTCCCTTCTTCTGGCCTCTGCAGGTACCAGGCACTAATGCCAGGTTCAGTTCCCAGCACCCAGCTCCTAGCCATCTGTAACTCCAGTCCCAAGGGATCCAACACCCTCTTCTGACCTCTTCAGGCACCAAGTGAACATGTGGTGTGCATACATGAAGACAAAACACCCATACACATAAAATAAAAATTAAAAGCAAATAACTTTAAAGAAGATGGCACTGGAGAGATGCTTCAGCAGTCATGGACACTTGTTGCTCTTGGAGAGGACCTGGGTTCGGTTCCTACATAGTGCCTCACAACCATCTGTAACTCCAGGTCCAAAGGATCCTGTTGTTGGTTGTTTTTACTCTTCGCTCTTTTGGGGGCCTGCCACTCAGCTCCCAAATAAATCACATGGAGTCTTGTTACTTATAAATGCCCGGCCTTAGCTTGGCTTATTTCTAGCTAGCTTTTCTTAACTTAAATTATCCCATCTACCCTTTGCCCCTGGGCTTTTTCCTTTTCTTACTTCCGTGCATTTTACTTTCACTCTTATTCCATGGCTGGCCCCTGGTGTTCTCCTCTCCTCCTTTTCTTGCTCCTAGATCTTCTCTCCCCAGATTTCTCCTCATATTTATTCTCTCTGCCTGCCAGCCCTGCCTATCCTTTCTCCTGCCTTGCTACTGATCAGACCCAGTATATTCTATGCTAAGCATTCAACCCAAGGCCTTATCATAGAAGACAAGCACTCTAACAACTGGGCTATACCTCCAACCTCAAATAATTTCTACTTATATTTGTATTATTTGTCACTATTTACTCTGCCTTCTTTTCTGTTATCTCTCAGGAAAATTTAAATAAGCAAATATAACCATTCAGAGCCATTCAGCTCTTTATTAGACCAATCAAGTATTTTAGACAGGCAAAGTAACACAACTTCACAGTTAAACAAATGCAACATAAAAGAATGCAACACAAAGATCTTTAATGCCGGGCGGTGGTGGCGCACGCCTTTAATCCCAGCACTCGGGAGGCAGAGGCAGGCGGATC